CTATGCCCCACAGGGAGGTGCCTTCTCTCTCTCTTTCTGGGGAGCACATACACACTCTGGCAATAAAAAAAGAAACAAGAAAAGGTCACTGGTCAAAATCCATTGAGAACCACTCATCAGACCACAGCTAACCCTACTGCGTAAACCTGACCTCTCTGTCAGCCATAGGAATGGAGGAGAGGGGTGGCATTTCCAACCCTGACCATGGAAAGAGCCAGGCTCTGTCCTTCAAGAATGTATCAAAGTGCACCTGTCTTAATGATGAAAAATTGATTTTGTCTGGTTTTCTGACCAGAGCCCTGCTACTCGAGTCTTCAGTCCTTGGCTAGAACACCAGTCTTTCGAGTGCCTCCTTGGGTTCTCTATCAGCTTGTCTCCCCAGATGAGTCCTTGCCATTGGGAACCTGCCCACCTTTTGACAAACACTGTATTGCTGAGACATTGCTCAAAAACTGTAGAGTTTAAGGCTCAAAAAGTAGGCCACGTCATGGCAAATAAGGCCAAGGGGAAGAGGAACCACATGGCAGCGTAGAGCAGACCCCAGCCCATTTTCGCATGCCTTTCTGTGTGTGCTGTCACCAGGAATAAATTGTGCAGCTGTGTATCTTGGTCTGGCAGGGTTGCCAGGATTTATGGGTTACATGTCCAAGTTCATAATCACCGATCCAAGAGAGAAGATGGAGGGCTGGAGCACAGGCTGGCCGGCCACAGTGCCTTATGGGCATGTTTCACGTTTAGTGCTTTTAGCACTGGTGCCTCATTTTCACTTCTAGAGAGCACTTTGGAAATATAAGCCCAGAATAGATTGCCATCTACAGCTGACCAAACCCATGTCAGCGTGAAGGTGGTGGTTTGTGTGTGAGTGTTGTGGTTGTTTACAGTTGTTTTGTATCTGAGCTGCAGGAGAATATGTATTTTACAGTAAGAGGCATGAGTTACTGAAACTTTTTAACCAGAGAGAAGTCTTCTTGGAGAAATCTTTTTTTTCTTACCTTTTAAAAAAAAAAAAAAAAATTCTGACAAGAGTCTCTCTGACACCTCTCGGGCTGATTTCCAGTCGCCATTTCCCAGTTTATCCTCTGCTTGAGACTCAATGCATTTAGTGTTGTAGACGTGCAGTCCCTCCTCAGAAAACTTGGAGTTGAATCAGGTGAAAAAAATGTAGGCATCACCACATTATAATGCTTTCTGTAGGGACAAAATAGCTTCTACAGTTTGAGACACTATGTGACAGGCAGGTTGCCCCCTGTAGCCCCCACAACAGTCTTCTGAAGTAGGTACTGTTACTCCCTACCAGCAGGTTGTCATCTTAAGTCATGAATGTTCAGAGTCACAGATGAGCAGAGATCACACAGGCCACCAGGTCCATTAGAGGATGGGGGACAGAGCCACAGGGTGACATAAGGCTGCCTTCTGAGGGCATCCTTGCAGCAGACAGGGCAGCCTGGGCAGATGCAGAGAGACGAAGGTGGGAGTTGTTCTGGCAGAGGAGGCCTCATGCCCCTCAGGACTCAGAGCTCTTGTCTCACTCCATGGCATAGCTCGTTGATCCCCTTCAAGGGACACACCTTGATACAAGATCTCCTTGCTTAGGAAGCCCAAGTCAAGAAACCTGGCTTCCATCAGATGGTATAGGTCATTGCTAGTTCCTTGCCATCCACGCAGTTTACCAGGCACAAGTCATTCTTACCATGTGAGGTCTCCTAACGACACAGCTGGCCGTCCTTCTTAGCAGTTACCAAGCTGGCCAGAGATCAGATTCTCATGCAGGAAGGGAAAAAAAAAAAATTACAACGATGATTCCCATTTTACAGAAAATAAAGCTGAGGTTTATCGATTCGCCTCAAATCACATAGTAAGTAACACTGTCAGAATTCAAACCCTGGCCTATCTGACCCCAAATATCATATTCTGTTAACCAAAATATGATTTTTCAATCTACCCCTTGCATATGTATATTTATTTTGTTATTTGAAAAGCAAGTTTGAATTACCTACCATCAGGAACAATTGGTCTTTCTAGAGAACCAGCATATTTATCCTGTGGCTTGCCCATTCCCTGACCACTGTGTTACCCCAGTGAGAGAAGCTAAGCCCCATGCTAGTTAGCAGTTTACTTAGAATAGTAAAAGAAACCACTAGTTCCTTGCTTTTCTCCAAGAGCCCATGTTTTGAGTAGAGGTTTATGAGGAAGGGAAAAAGGTTGTAAGAGAAGTAGAAGCAGTTTTGCATCTGAACATTAACGAGTACCTGGCTGCCAGGTGCAAGCCATTCTCTTTCACTTGGCTGTCTTTCTTCCTTTTAAATCATCACCATCTTGTTGCACAAGACCTAAGGAACCAGCAGTTAGCATAATGGCTATGTCACTGGACTCCCATGTGACCGACCGTGGTTCGAGTCCCAGACCCAGTGGCTTAATCTCACACCAGGCACATGTGCGTACATGCATACCCAGGTTCCCGAAAGGAGGATGGAGGAGAAGGGATTGCGGCTTGGCCATCTCTCCTGGGGGGTGATTTCTCACTTTCTGTCTCTCTGTCTCTCTCTGCCTTTCTGGCAAGCGCACACGCCCTGTAACAAAAACATTAAAAAAAAGACCTAACAGCTCAAGGCAAAGCATGTAGCTTTATTGCAGTTTGGTTCAACGCATAAAATGCAGTTTATATTTCTGGATTGTATTGCAGGAACTGTGTGAGAAATGTGCCATTCATGTACCAAGTATAAAAGTAGAAGTTTTAAGACACTGTAACAATATTACTGTTGTTTCATTGGGTGTTTAATCGACTCTAAGCTTCACCAGGAATTAGAGCTATCTGTTAACTTCTAAAACTTGATAGTGTAGTGAAGAAAAATAGGAAGGCATTTTATAGGCAGCTCGTGAAATGGATTGGATAAAGACCATGGTGAAGTGCAGTAGAATTAGTTTGTGATGAACTGAATTGACATAGTGAGAACACAATTGATATGAAAGGGGTACGGAGAGAATCGAGGGGTGTGGTCAAGTTTGGTGTTTGAGCTGAAGCCGTGGGCACAGGGGTTGTATTATCATCTAGATACTTTCATACACTCTGTGCACTATGCTTTCCATCCAGTTCTCAAAAGTGCAGCTGACGACGTCTGCCTGCCAACAGCACAGAAAGATGTGTGTGTTTTATGTAAAAGAAACCATTTCATAGATGGTTTTGAATCTCATATTACACGTTTGCTTAGACAGTGAGAAAAGAGCAAAGTTTGACTATTAATAATATAAGAGAAGGGTCGAAAGAATAACTTTGAAGTTTGCAAAGTAAAACTATCAGGAAAAATCACTTCTCCGTTTATGAGTAATAAAATCAGAACATAAACAGATCTTCAGCTGTGATCGTCCTCTCTTCCTGAGTCTGCGCAGGAAAGTTTATGCAGTCATTCTGTAGATGTTTGCTGACGTGGGCCTGGTGGTGTGCTTGGAACCAACATAAGGGCTAGAGTGTTTGTCTCTATGGCGATGGAGGCAAGAATTTGACTAACCTGGGCACTCTTTAAAGCCCAAGTAATAATATGAGAATCCAAGGTAATGCCAGAAAAGAAAAAAAACACAGTTTTCACGATCACTCCATATACAAGAGGACTTCAAAAAGTTCATGAGAAATACACATTATAAAAAAAAAAAAAAAAAACCCTGCAGGGCTAGCCAATGGCATGTTGATTAAGGCGGTTGGATCCCACATGGCTGACTGCACAGTTTGAGTTCCGGACCTGGTGGCTTGAAAAACATGCAGGGTGTGCGTTTGTGCATGCCCAAGCTCCAGAAAGGAGGGAGAGATGGAGGAAAAGGTGTTGTGGTGTGGCCATTCCTAATGGGAGACACTTTCTCTCTGACTCTCTTTTTTTCTCTCACTCTGGCTAGGGCACACATCATTTAGCAGAAAAATTAATAAACAAAAAACAAACAAACAAAACCCGTATGGCCCAGCCTCTGTGGTATGGCTGGCTGCCTACTGGGCCACGGAAATGGAAACCAAATGCAGACGACAGTTTCCCCAGCCCCGAAAGCCTGAAGACACTTGTATGTGCCCAGGATCTCGGCTAGCTGGAGGACTAGAGGAAGTGGATCAGAGTGTGAGCATGCCCTGTGGAACATGCTTTCTCTCTCTCTCTCATATGCCTGCCTGTATTCTATCATGAATATTTTTTAAAAGTATGTATGGATTTCAAAGGTTTTTGCACCAAAGTAAACTTTTGTCGTTTATCTGTTTTGTTTTTTTTGTTGTTGTTGTTCATTTTGTTTTGGTTTGCCATAGGATACATGCGCTCACCAGAGAGAAACAGAGAAAGGGAAGGTGAGAAATTGCCCCCCGGGGGATGGCCATGCTGCCATCTTTTCTCCTCCATTCTCCTCTTGGGATTTTGGGCACGCATGCACATGTGCCTGCCTAGCATGATTCTCAAACCATTGGTCTACAACTTGAACCATGCAGTCAGCCGTATGGGAATCCAGCACCTTAACTACCACACCGCCTGCTGGCCCCAATAAATTCGTATTTTAATTCCACTTTTCCATGAACTTTCAGAGAAGTCCCTCTCTATGTTAAGTGGCAGCGAAGTGATATGAACAGTAGATATTGCCAACCTTCAGGCAAAGGCAGCACTCTCTACTTCTGAGTGCTGGAGGAACCCTGAAGATGGGTGACCTTCCTGTGGGTGGAAAGAAAGAAAGCCAGCCTGAGAGAGAGGAGCTCCTGGAACTGACGGCAGCGTTACAGCGGGTACAGATACATTACCTGGCAGGGTTAACTTGCTAGAGAAGAAATGGGCCCAGCTTTGCGGAACCTTAAAAACAACAAGCTTGAAGACAGTTCCATTGTACAGGAGCAGGACAGCCGTTGTGAGTTTTTGAAAGATTCGTGCTGTTGGGAGAGCTCCTTCTCCCGGATTGAGTGTCTGTCCATCTTGGGGTACTGCACTATGCTGTCCTCATGCTCTATGAACAGCCCATGTCACCTATCTTCATTGTCATTTCAGATTCATGACAGATGCTGCCCGCCGAGAGCAGGAGTCCCTAAAGAAGAAGATTCAACCAAAGCTCTCGCTGACTCTGTCCAGCTCAGTGACCCGAGGGAATGTGTCCACTCCACCACGCCACAGCAGCGGAAGCCTTACTCCCCCCGTGACCCCACCCATCACACCCTCCTCCTCATTCCGTAGCAGCACCCCGACAGGTGAGTTGGCCCTACTACCTTGACAGGTGGCAGAGAGTGTGTGTGTGAGGGGCTGGGAGCAGGAGGGACAGGGACAGATGATGACACCGACCCGCCACTTGTACACTTCACTGGTCTCTAGGGAACGTTCATTCATTTGCCTGTTTATTATTGAATAAACATTTGTAGACTATTGTTAATATGTATGTGATAATGGCTTAATGGGTATTTTTACCATTTGTCATTTGTGGATAAAGTGACGTGCTGTCTTGGATTTGCTTCAGGCAGGTGGAAGAGCAGGTGAAACAAGATTGTCTTGTGTTGATTGTTGTTGAAACTCGGTGATGGTTACAAAGAGGTTCAATATGCCATTCCCACTATTTTTGCTTATTTGTGGAATTTTCCATAATGAAATGATTGAAAACAAAGTCCATATGTGGAATGCCTCCTCTGTGCCAGACCCTGGGCTACAACGGAGGCAGGCCTCTTTCTCTGTCAGCAAGGAGCTTATGCCTAGAGGAGGATGTTGGCATTCTATGGGGTCAAGAACACTCTTGTCTGCCCCTCCCAAACATGGAAGCAATTAAGAATGAGACAGGAGCCAGATGAAGATCAAAATACCTACTCTACTGTACAGAAAGCTGACCTACAGAATGGAGCTTGCATCTGTGGCAGTTGGGCTTCACCCCGATGTTCCCCTCATTTCCCCAGGGTGGGAGTAGACCCGAGAGCACCCTGGGCCCTGAGCTGAGCGTGCTCCACTCCTTCTCCCCATTCACGGTCCATGAAGTGGCTGCTCCTCTGAGGGCGGCAGTCAATATGGTAAAATGGCAGAAGAGCTGGAAAGGTACCTCTTCCTTTTCCTATCTGAGAAACTAGAATTATAGGATGGGGCTTCAAAAAGGTTGTGAAAAAATAGAATTCAGGTATGAGTTTATATTGGTGCAAAACATTTTTGAGATCTATGCATAGATTTATCATAATGCACACTTTTCTGAGCTTATCAAAGTTCCTTCATATTTCTCTTCCCCAGTGAGAATATAGATAGTCATTATATAAATACACAAAGACTGTATTATGTATTCATAGTGCTCTATTAGAAGAATTCAGTGATATGAGAGTTTCTCCAGAGAGAAGTTTGACCTAGTTGAGACAAGCTTTCCTTAAAAGGTAAGTAGGAGTCAATTAGGTATTTTTTTTTAAAGAGGGGCAGCATTTCAGGGGAAATGTTTTACAGCAGCCCATGGCCAGATGTCCAGCAGGTCCTGGGTACTGAAAGCAGGCCAGGTGGCCTGGCTGTGAGATAAAGCTGAGGAGATGGGGAGGGGCTAGGTCACTGTGAGTCTTATTAAAGACTGGTTGATTTTAAGAGCAACGAAAACACTTGTAATCACATCATCATCTCCTTAGCATTGCCCCCTTGGCTGTGAGAAAAATTTATTTTCTCTTACAATTTATACATATCTATACACACACACATATCATATATATTATATATGACTATAT